AAAACCCCAAAGAGTTAAAGCTTAGATGTTTATCATGAAACATCTTCTAATGGCTGTCTACCAAGTTTGTTCAAATAATAGTCCCTGGTTTAAAATTGGCATTTGCCCAGGAGCTTATATACATTGTACAGGTGAGCGATTTCAAAATCTTTCGATAAATTCAAACGTGACAGTCGGCTATGAACGAAGCCATCCGATTAAATGGTTCCCAAACTTAAAGGCGATGCGAATTTTGCACACGGCAAAGCTGGGGCCACGTTTGAATTTATCGAAAGATTTTTTCGGCTATTCGAAGAATATGAGAGCTATTTAGTCGCGTCGGCGTCAGCGTCCGCGTCTGCGTCTGCGTTGTTAAAAGTTTTTTGTAAAGTCAAATATCTCAATTATTGCTTGAGATATTCAATTGAAACTTACAATACTTATTTATAGTAACAAGGTGCATCAGATTGACAAGTTGGATAACTCTTCCTACAGTATTGATAGAACTATGCCCCTTTTTAACTTAGAAATTTTGGTTAAAGTTTTTTTGTAAAGTCAAATATCTCAATTATTGCTTGAGATATTCAATTGAAATTTAAAATACCTTTTTAACAACAATGTACATCAGTTTGCAAAATTGCATAACTCTGCCTGCAAAATTTGCCGAACTATTTGCCCCTTAAATTTGAAACTTAGAAAATTTTGGTTAAAGGTCTTCAAAAATATTTGCTTGAAACTTTACACATGTACTTAAGGTCATAATTTGAGGGTCATAATTGTATGTCACTGACCAAGTTCCATAACTCCTGAATTAAGGCTGATTCATATCCACTTTTCTACTTAGTCTCTTGGTTAATGTTTACATGCAAGTTTTGCATATCTCAATAACTATTAAAGATATTTATTTAAAACTTCACATATGCATTTAGGGTCATAATTGTAGGTCACTGACAATTCTATCTTGCATTTAGGTTGATTTTCCTTCCCCTTTTCAACTTAGAAATTCATGGTAAAGTTTAACTTATAAGCTGTTATCTCTATAATTACTGAAGGGTTTGTGCCTTTTTTGGGACAATTATATGCATTCATAATAATAAAGCAGTAATTTACTTGATAAAACATCTTAATAACAAGCCTTTGTACCTTTTCTGTCAATTTTATGTATTCATAGGTAATTAGTATTATTATACTCAATAAAACACCCTTGTGACATTACCTTCCGATTAGTCAAGCCAATACTGTATCATTAGACTGTCTCTAAGGCCTATAACATGAATGTATAAAAAAAGTTAGCCCTTTTGTGAGCTTAGAAAATTAAACATTATCAAAGCTCTAAATTTTACGTTATCAAGGCTCTTTTACTATCAAGCACTTAGAATAGTCGAGCGTACTGTCCTACCGACAGCTCTTGTTTATGAAGTAAGAGGTCTCTAGTGTCAAGGTCACTGGTGTAAAAAACAAATTTAAACATTTTCACACAGCCTTTATTTATAAGTTATGTCAGTCATGTTCAGGTCCTCTCCCGTCGGGTTTAGTTACGGGTCGTTTTGGTCATGGTCAGCAATGTCAGAAATAGATTTTTGCACTTTTACTGGTGTATTAACGTTTTTATTATGCCCCCGCCATGTAATGGCCGGGGCATATAGTGTTACCCTGTTCCGTCATTCCGTCCTTCCGTCCTTCCATCCTTCCGTCCTTCCATCCTTCTGTCCTTCCGTCATTCTGTCATTCCGTCATCATCAGTTTCCGTTCATTATCTTAAGAACGGTTGCACACATTCAACTCAAATTTGACATATGGATATGTCATGAGAAAATACAGGTCAAGTTCGAATTTGGTCATGGTTTGATGATTTTTGGCAGAGTTTATGCCCCTTTTACTTTGAAAATAATATGAAATTTCAGTTTCCGTTCATTATCTCCCAAATGGTACAACACATTCAACTCAAACTTGACATATGGATATGTCATGAGAAAATACAGGTCAAGTTCGAATTTGGTCATGGTTCGATGATTTTTGGCAGAGTTATGCCCCCTTTACTTTGAAAATAATATGAAATTTTCAGTTTCCGTTCATTATCTCCCCAACGGTACAACACATTCAACTCAAACTTGACATATGGATATGTCATGAGAAAATACAGGACAAGTTTGAATTTGGTCTTGGTTCGATGATTTTTGGCAGAGTTATGCCCCTTTTACTTTGAAAATAATATGAAATTTTCAGTTTCCGTTCATTATCTCCCCAAAAGTACAACACATTCAACTCAAATTTGACATATGGATATGTCATGAGAAAATACAGGTCAAGTTCGAATTTGGTCATGGTTCAATGATTTTTGGCAGAGTTATGCCCCTTTCACTTTGAAAGTAATATGAAATTTTCAGTTTCCGTTTATTATCTCCCCAATGGTACAACACATTCAACTCAAATTTGACATATGGATATGTTTTTGGAATGCCCAGGCCAAGTTCGAGTTTGGTCATGGTTCAATGATTTTTGGCAGAGTAATGCCCCCTTTCACTTTGAAAATAATATGAAATTTACAGTTTCTGTTCATTATCTACCAACAGTGTTACATATGCAACTTAAATTTGACATATGGATATGTCAAAGGAATGGGCAGGTCAAGTTGGAATTTGGTCATGGTTTGATGATTTTTTGGCAGAGTTATGTCCCTTTCACTTTGAAAATAATATAGATACATCTTAGGAATAAGCAGTTTAAGTTTGAATTTGGTTGTAGTTCAATGATTTAAGACAAACTTATCTTTCCTGAATGTTGGAAAAATTTTGAAGTTTCACTTTCAGCACTCATTATTTTGGCTACAAATATGCAATATGCTATTTTTAAAAGGTTTAGACTGAATAATTTCAGTGCCTTGAACATTGTATGAAAATGGTTTGTGTTAACATTGAAAAGTTTTAAGGGCTTTGAACTTAAAATGAAAAAAATAATTAAAGCACCATCTGAAATTTTGGCTGCATGCGGGGGCATCCGTGGCATGATGACACATTTCTAGTTGACTTATATTTACTAGGAATATAAAATTAGGGTATTATTCTTCAGATGGAGGTAGGGGTCGGTTGGGTCAAGGTCACGAGTGCTTAAAGTACATTTTTACACTTTTGACCATAAAGCCTTTATCTTTTGACATATATATTTCATATTTTAGGAGGATAACTTGCTTGGTTCTCTTCCTTTGGTTGGAGTAAGGGGTCAGTTGGGTCAAGGTTACCATTGCTGAAATAGATTTTTTACACTTTTCCCGTACAGTCTTATTGACAGATGTATTTTATATTTGGTAGGAAGATAAATTGCACGATGTTCTTTTTGATTGAGATACTGGATTCTGTGGGTCAAGGTTAAGGATGCCAAAAATAGATTTCTACACGTTTGCTTATACAATGTTTATATTGACAGATGTTTTTGTGCCCCACTATAGAGGGGGGGGGGCGCGCATTGAGATTTAGTCTCCGTCAGATTATCTGTCCGTCCATCCGATATTCTTGTCCTTTTATCATGTCTAATTGTGCATAAGAATTTTTATTTTCCTCTTGAATTATTTTTGGCACAGATATGGTCCCTTCATTATCAATTTGTCAGTAAAATAAGTTTGTCCGTGCGTCATCTCCAAACCTGGTTTGGGGATTTCAGTGAAACTCCACATGATTGTTTGTCACCATGCCAAGTTATGCTAATTGTCTTGATTTTCGGCATGACTTTTTTGCACAGTTATAGCACCTTAATGGTCATTTTTGTGTCGCCTCTACGGAGTAGTGGCGACATATAGGGATCACTTCTCCGTCGTCTGTCTGTCCGTCTGTCTGTCTGTCTGTCTGTCCGTCCGTCCGTCACAAAACTTGTCCGGACTACTCCTCATAAACTACTGGTGCAATTTCATCCAAACTGTACAGGAATGATCAGTACCGAGTCTAGTTGTGCATATTGTCAGCATTTTCCGGTTCAATGATTTTTGTCAGAGTTATGGCCCTTTAATAATTTTTAATTTTAAAGTTTGTCCGGACAACTTCTCTCATACCACTAATGCAGTTTCAATGAAACTTTACAGGATTGATCTGTAGCTCAAGTCCTTGCGCATATTGCACGGGTTTTCCGGTTGAATGATTTTTGGCCGAGTTATGGCCCTTTGATAAAAAGGTGTTTTTTTCTGTGTGTTACCATATACACAAAAGCTTGTCCGGACTACTCCTCATAAACTACTGGTGCAATTTCATCCAAACTTTACAGGAATGATCAGTACCAAGTCTAGTTGTGCATATTGTCAGTATTTTCCGGTTCATTGATTTTTGTCAGAGTTATGGCCCTTTAATAATTTTTAATTTTAAAGTTTGTCCGGACTACTTCTCTTATACCACTAATGCAATTTCAATGAAACTTTACAGGATTGATCTGTAGCTCAAGTCCTTGCGCATATTGCACGGGTTTTCCGGTTGAATGATTTTTGGCCGAGTTATGGCCCTTTGATAAAAAGGTTTTTTTTCTGTGTGTTGCCAGATACGCAAAAGCTTGTCCGGACTACTCCTCGTTAACTACTGGTGCAATTTTATCCAAACTTTACAGGAATGATAAGTACCAAGTCTAGTTGTGCACTGTCCGTCTGTCTGTCCGTCTCTGTCACAAAATTTGTTCCTACATGAAATTGGCCATCATGAGGCGACACATGTGATTACTGATCGCTCTTGTTTTAGTAAAATAAGCTTGATTAGGCTTCAACTCCAAAACCGCTGGGGGATTTCAGTGAAACTTTATAGGATTATTTGTCATCATACCTAGTTGTGTTTTTTATTTATTATCAAAATTGTATGATACAATTATTTTTTATAGACATGCTGATCAAAATGCAGTTTTGCTGATTGGGAAAGACTGTAGGCAGATGAAAGATAACTACAGGGGAAGAACGAAGAAGTTGTGGAAAGGAAAACAACACGATAAACAGTTAAGAAAATCATTTAATGAAGAAAGGACATATTTTTTATACAGTATCTAATATGATGGAATTTTAAAACATGAACAATGAATGGACATTACCTAAAATGTGAAATGACAAAATGGAGATGAGGAGTTCAAAATATATTCATGTCATAAATATGCTTACAGTGAGGGAAGTTTTAGCTATTCAAAATAAAGATTAGGAAAAAAAAAAATTGATAGTTACTTTGCAGAAATTAGAAAGGAGTATTTTGTAGGATGTAAATGAAAATTTATATAATTTTATTCAAGACAATATAGTGAAAGTGGGAAATGCAGTCTGGTTTATAACATTATTCTCTGACTTGTGACAAGTACTTTGGTGTTAAAAATAGTCTGAAATGACAGTAATGAAAAATCATCATGTGATTTAAATGACCAGAATAATAAATAATTAAGCAATACTGTGGTGTATGTTATAGTTCCTTAAAGAAGTGACATACAAGAATCCAGTGTGGACAATTTACAGTTTCTGTTATAGCACATTCAGCCAGTCTGAAGCACATATTTGGTTACATACTGGAGTTCAATTAATTCAATGGCACCATATTCATAATTTGAAGTGACACATGAAGAAACTTTCTTGAACAAAAACTTTCTATGTAATGAATGCACTGGCACATTCTTCCATATTTAGCAACACACAAGGGAGCATCTTTGGGAGAGATTTTCAAATGTATTGAATGTACTGGCACAGTCTTCCATATTGACACAGGTGGTGACATCTTGGAATAAACTTTCGAAATGGAATATCTGTGATGTCAATTACAATTGTTACTAGTGTATAGCAAATCTGAAACAACACATTTATGAGAAAACATACTGAAGTAAAGTATTTGAAATATGTCTGCCTTGACAAGTTTAGGAAATCTTAAGAAATACAGGAGTAAACATACTGAAAGTAAATGTGATTATGTGATGGCACATTCAACTGTATGAGTCAACTGAAGCAACACATAAGTAAACATACTGGTGAAAAACCTTTTAAATGCAATATCTGTGAGGGCACTTTCAGCCATATGTTGACTCTGAAGCGACACATGAGGATACATACTGGAGAGAAACTTTTTCATTGTAATATATGTGATGGCACATTCAGTAAAATGTTTAATTTAAAGCAACACAAGATGATTCATACTGGAGAGAAACTATTTAAATGTAGTATGTGTAATGGCACATTCACCCGCATGAGTGGTTTGAAGGAGCACATGAGGATACATACTGGAGAGAAACTTTTTCATTGTAATATATGTGATGGCACATTCAGTAAAATGTTTAATTTAAAGCAACACAAGATGATTCATACTGGAGAGAAACTATTTAAATGTAGTATGTGTAATGGCACATTCACCCGCATGAGTGGTTTGAAGGAGCACATGAGGATTCATACTGGAGAGAAACCTTTTAAATGTAGTATATGCGATGGCACATTCATCCGCATGAGCAACTTGAAGAGACACATGAGGGTACATACTGGAGAGAAACCTTTTAAATGTAATATCTGTGATGGCACATTCAGCCATACCTCTGCCATTAAGCAACACATGAGGATACATACTGGAGAAAAACCATTCAAATGTAATGTATGCGGTGACACATTCAGCCAAATGTCAACTTTAAATAATCACATGAGGATACATACTGGAGTGAAACCTTTTAAATGTAGTGTATGTAATGGCACATTCAGCCGCTTGTGCCATTTGAATCGACACAAAAAGATTCATACTGGAGAAGAACCTTTTGCATATTCACCCGCATTGGCCATTTGAAGTAACACAAGATGATTCGTTCTGGAGAGAAACTATTTAAATGTATTTATACTTATAAATGAAATATTGAGAAATATTGATGAAATAAAATGCGTATTTTTCATTTTCCGTATTTTCACTGTAAAAATTTATTTTTCACTAGTGAAACATATTTTCCGTATTTTCACTGGTGTCTTGCCGGACTACTTTCTTTTAAATTCTGCCATTACACAAGATTTAAGGGAAAGTCTTTCAAATTTTATAGCAAAAAAGAGAAAAATATATATAATAAACAGAAAATTCAAGTTTTTTCTATAAATTCATGATTTATTTTCATCTTGTGGCATGAAAATTACCATATTTCATTCGTGGCTACCGCCACTCATGAAATATTTATTTTCATACCACTCGATGAAAATAAATCATGTATTTATAGAAAAAACTTGAATATCCTCTATGTATTTAATGTATGTGATGGTACATTCAGCCAAATGTCTTTTCTAAAGCAACATGTGAGGAAACATACTGGAGAGAAACCTTTTAAATGTAGTATATGTAATGGCACATTCACCTGATGAGCATTCTGAATCGACACTTGCTGAAGCATACTTGAGAACAGCCTTTTTAATGTTATATTTGTGAGGGCACATTCATCAATGCATTTACCATAAAGCAACACATGAGGATACATACAGGATAAACACTTCCTTGAAGTGAAATGACTAATGTTTAGATGAATCATTCAATCAAACAATCAGTCTGAAGCAACACAAGAGGAACATACTGGAGAGTACTTTTTGTTGTAATGCATGGGTGCAAGTTTTCCGGCATGTGCCGGAAGTTCCGGTTTTTCACGTGCCGGAGGGATCATTTTTGCAAATCACGTAAATCCGTTGAGATATTTGATTTGGAGGGGTATGGTGCGGGTCTACTCTTTCAAACTGAGAAGAACCACCGATTAGAAGTTCATAATCGAGAACGCTATATAACATACGGATGCTCACGGTTGTTCTCGAAGCGTCAATAGTAAACTTTCGGGGAAACTGCCGATAGTTTCCGAAGATATACGAGATGTTTACGAAAACATGTATTATTAATCCCGGCATGCAATTTTATCCGTGAATTTATTACAACGATTTAGATTGGCGCGCTAATTATAATCATCCAATGAAAAAGCGGCTTCGTTACCGATTCGGCTACAGAGTAATATGTAAACAGAAAGTAATTGTATAATTTGTTAGTCAAAATGAATTTAAGTTTCTACACGAAGGATTTAATACAAAAGATTTCGAGAAGACCTCAAAAAATAAATGGAGATGGGAATGGTTGTCTGTATGTGATCGAAACGGGGATAACTACGGAAACTGGCTGGAAAAGCCAGACGTTCCCGGCGTAGCTTTCTGCACTGTAATTGTCTGTATGTAGAAAATCCATCAAGTATGGATCCAGCGGGAAAAAAAGAATTAAATGCACGCAGACGATCCAAACCATATGAAAATCAAACTTACTGTGAAACATAACCAGGCTTGTTTTAATTATCTTTTTAGCTCGACTATACGAAGTATATGGAGAGCTGTCCTACTCGCCCCGGCGTCGGCGTCCGCGTCCAGATTTTAGATTAAAGTTTTGGTAAAATATTTTTCACTATAACTTTGTCATTTCTTAAGGTATCAACTTCAAACTTCAAATATATGTTCCTTATCATCAACCACATCTTATGTGACAAGGTTCATAACTCTAGCACCAATATTTTCAGATTTATCTCCCCTTGAACTTAGAATTTTCCTTAAAAATTACTATTTTTTTACTGATACTTCTTTATTTCTTAAGGTATCAACCTCATACTTCAAATATATGTACCTTATCATCATCCCCATCTTATGTGACAAGGTTCATAACTCTAGCACCAATATTTTCAGATTTATCTCCCCTTGAACTTAGAATTTTCCTCAAAAAATACTATTTCTTACTGTTTCTTCTTTGTTTCTTAAGGGATCGACCTCATACTTCAAATATATTTACGTTATCATCATCCCCATCTTATGTGACAAGGTTCATAACTCTAGCACCAATATTTTCAGATTTATCGCCCTTTGAACTTAGAATTTTCCATAAAAAATATTATTTTTTACTGTAACTTATTTATTTCTAAAGGGATCAACGTCATACTTCAAATATATTTACGTAATCATCATCCACATCTTATGTGACAAGGTTCATAACTCTAGCACCAATATTGCAAAAATTATCTCCCCATAAACTTAGATTTATTTACTAGAAAAACGTTATTTTTTATTTTAACTTTTTTATTTTTAAAGGTATCTACCTCAAACTTCAAATACTTATACCTTATCATTAATTACATTTTATGTGACAATGTTCATAACTCTTAAAGCAATATTTACAGATTTATGTCTCTTTGAACTTAGGATTTTCTTTAAGAAATATAATAACTTCTTTACTTTTTAAGGTATCTACTTCAAACTTCAAATATATATTTCTTATCATTACACAAATGTTGTGTGGCAAGATCCATAACTCTAGCATGACTATTTCTATAATTATTCCCCTTGATCTTGGAATTTATGTTAACAAATGTTATTTTTTACTATAACTTAATACGTAATTATACATAATTGATTTTTCTTTCATAGTTTTGTCCTCCTTACTGCGTCCAGTATTTTATTAGTCGAGCTTCGCTGTCTCCTGTGACAGCTCTTGTTTGAAAACTATTTATTGTTTGTATGGAATCAGGGTCAGCTCAGCCCTAATTAAAACGTAAACTCGGTACAAATCAACTCAATTTTCAATTTATTTATATATTGGTTTGTTTTATCACTCTTTACTGTTGGAACCACAATATTGAATAGTGGAAACAATATATGAATGCACATTTCTTTTTGTGTTGAAATGTTTTTGTTTATATAATTAAGAAAATGAGAGAGAAAAGAAGAAAATAATTATGTGAGCAATATTTAAGTGAAAATACTATACTACAGTATGTATGTTATCTGGCATGTAATCATTCAAGGGATTTGCATTTAAGGCCTTCAAATGTGCTATAATGCAGGAGCTTCCGGGGGCCTCCGGTCCCCTGGACCCCGGGCCGGGCGTTGCCCTGGACCCACCGGGGGCCCTTGCGGCCCCCTGGCCCCCAAACAAATAGTTCAGGTTTTTCAAAATTTTTAACTTGCACCCATGGTAATGTATGTGCACATTCATTTAAGTCATAAGCACTTTAAAGCTGCTCATGAAGATACATACTGAATGAAATGACTGCTGGACAATAAATGGGTTTTTGTGTTAGCATTTGTGTTGTAACTGTCTATATCTTTTTAGGTCACCTGAGCATATGCTCAGGGTGAGCTATTAGGATCACTCTAAGTCTTCGTCCATCGTCCGTTTTCCGTTCACACTTTTAAAACGACATCTCCTCTGAAACCATAAGGCAGATCATAATGAAACATCACAGGGATGTTCCTTGTGTGAAGCCTTAACAAAGTTCTTCAAAGAATTCCATTCCATGCAGAACTCTGGTTGCCATGGCAACCAAAATAAAAACTTTAAATATCTTCTTCTAAAAAACCCAAAGAGCTAGAGCTTAGATATTTGGCACGAAACGTCTTCTAGTAAGTGTCTACCAAGTTTATTCAAATAAAAGACCTGGGGTCAAAATTGGCCCCGCCCCAGGGGGTCATTGATTTTCCCTATATGCATTTAGTAAAAACTTTAAAAAATCTGCTTTTAAAGAACCCAAAGAGCTAGAGCTAAGATACTTAGCATGAAACATGTTCTAATGGATGTCTACCAAGTTTGTTCAAATAAGAGCCCTGGGGTTAAAATTGGCCCCGCCCTGGGGGTCATTGATTTTCTTTATATGTGTATAGCAAAAACTTAAAAAATCTTCTTTGAAAAAAAACCAAATAGCTAGAGTTTAGATACTAAGCATGAAACATCTTCTAGCGAGTGTCTAACAAGTTTGTTCAAATAAAAGCCCTGGGGTCAAAATTGGCCCCGCCCCGGTGGTCATGTCACGTGACCTATTATGAGTTTGCGGCCCGGGGCCGAGAACTAGTTATCAGCCCGCAGAACATGCGCATGTGCACAAACTGAAACAATGACGTCATATTTTACGTCATCAAATAGTTCACTGTAAAAGTGAAAGTAGGTTGTCAGCACGAATTGCTTTATTCTTATTATGAGAGCTTAAGCGTATTTAGTACAAACACATTTTTGTTACTATTGAAATTTGATGAAATAATACGACAAATTCATTCCGAAAAAAATGAAAATAAAACTTGATTCTAGATTCTACTGCTTTGAACACACAAACAGTAAACATCTCTGTACAGAACAGTAGAAGAGTAGACAAGAATGTCAACGAAAGAACTTTGTTGTTGTATCTTTTTAAAAAAAATGCTACTATTAGATCTACCAAGTGTATTAAAGACATTAATACACGTCAGAGTAGGGCCGGGAGGTGATAATCGGCCCTGAATGAATAATGGCCCTCGGGCTAAAGCCCTCGGGGTCCATTATTCATTTTGCGGGCCGATTATCACCTTCCGGCCCTACTCTGCCGTGTATTAATCTCTTATTAGTAAGTGTCTACAAAGTTTGTTCAAATAAAAGCCCTGGGGTCAAAATTGGCCCCAACCCCGGGGTCATTGATTTTTACCTTATATGTGTATAGCAAAAATTTAAAAATCTTCTTCGAAATATCCAAATAGCTAAAGTTCAGATATTAAGCATGAAACATTTCTAGTAAGTGTCTACAAAGATTGTTCAAATAAAAGCCCTTGGGTCCAAACTGGCCCTGCCCCAGATGTGTCATTGTTTTTAACTATATGTGTAAAGAAAAAACTTGACCAGCTAGACCTTAGATGTTTTGCATGAAACATCTTCTAATGGGTGTCTACCAAGTTTATTCAAATAAAAGCCCTGGGTTTAAAACTGGCCCCGCTACGAAGGCATATACAGGTGAGCGACTTCAGGGCCATCATGGCCCTCTTGTTTATTGATGTCTTCTTATCTAGACACATCATCATTAAGGACAAACCCTTG